GTATTTGTAAATATTTTTAAAAGTATGTAAATATAAATCGTAGATGTAGTAGCATTAAAACATATTTTAAATCAAACAATGTTTGTAATTATCCAGAGCACATAACTCAGTGGAGGTTATTTCATTTAGCAAGAGTTGATCATTACAGAGGTTTTTAAGTTGGCGGGAACCTACGCAATACGTGAGGTTATGCAACTTGGCACGAAAATAAGTTTAGACAACATAGGAGACCAGGGGAATGGCTGCCTAGGGGGAGGGGTGCTCTGTAATTAGCTTGGGCGTAGGAGGAGGGGTACTCTCTAATTAGCTGGGGCGTGGCCTAGGAGGAGGGGTGCTCTCTGATTGGCTAGGGGGCGTGGCATAGAGGGAGGGGTGGGGATGAAATGCTGCTCTCTGATTGGTGGCCTGAAAAACTGGGTAGCCTACTCACTTATGCTTAGTGAGCTTAAGTGAGTGAGCTTGTTGATGGGTCTACCAAAACGTTTAAAAGTTTGCACGTATAATTAGGTAGGATAATAAATATAGGAGGTCCATAATTAGATAAAAGTATACTGTCAGATATTGAAGTCAAAACGAAAGTATTGATGTAGATTTTTGTGGGCTTCACTCACCTTTATTTTTGTTTGTGATGTCCGGGACTCGTCAAAACACATAAACACACATATATACAACACAAAATCGTCCACGGCATCAAGGTCCGACGTTTCGCGGAACTCAAAACAACGTTTCGCTCAAGTTCAATCTACATCAATAATAACACCTCGCCTAAAAGCATGTCGTTCAAAAACAGAAAACGAAAGTAATCAATCAAAAAGACTAATACATGAATCCTACTATAACTTGTAAGCAAATAATTGATTAATGATCATCAGCTTCGCCGACGGAAATTAGGCGATATTAATACATAATTATACGTATAGAAAACTTGAGTGGAAAGCATTTAACACAGCACGACAATGAACCGATGACAAATTCCAGTGATGTCGCAATCATAATTTGCTACTTGAGTAAGTAGATAACCACATCAAGTGATTACCGTATGCCAATGCTACATCGAAGCTTGTGCAAGGATGTTGAATCAAGAGTTGTTTCATACATTTTTAAATATATTTTTGGTTTTAGCGAATTTCCCTATAGGGAAGTAGCTATTACCGTAGGTCTCATGGTAAGACTTAGGCCCGGGACCGATTTACTTTTTCATTTTGATGTCTCCCCAGAGGCCAAAAACACCATTCGTTAAAATTTTTATATATGTATATATATATATATATGTGTGTCCGTGAACACGATAACTTGAGTAATTTTTATCCGATTTTGATGAAATTTGGTTTGAAGGTGTAAGGAGGGATAAACTTGAATGAGTTCGCGATCCAGCATGATCGGACCATGGGAACAGGGTTTTATGGGGGGTTTTATGGGGTAAAAATTGGTTTTTCTCACTTTTGACCCTCAAAACACAAAATTTCCCAATTTTTCTCTAAACCTTCTTAAAGAGCTTAAAAAAACAAACAATTCAGTATATCAAAGTGTTTTTGTAGGGTTATTAGTTACGGAGAAAACTAAAAAAATTGTAAATTTAAAATTCCATGTTATTCTTATGGAGAATATTGTAAAATGTTGTAGTTTGCTTGTTTATGGATATCTTTTGATCAAACTTGGCAAATATATTCATTTTCTACTAAGCAATAATTATTTGACTTAAAACACACACTTTATTAGTTTCCTTGTAGCAGCAAACCTAGGTACTCGTTAAACCTAATGTTATTTAAATAGATCGATTGAAAATCAATTCAGCCAAATGGAAATTCGCTTAGACGGCAGGTTTGCTGCGGCGGGGGTATTATTGCTATAAAGTTAAACCATAAATATAAAGATTACACTTGATAGGATAATTGTATTGTTTAATTTAAAAATACAATCTTTGTATTTAAATGTATTAATGTTTAATCTAAAATTAATAACCCTCGATAAGGCCATTCAGAGAGAACTAGAGATCCCTATTTCAACCCAGTAGAAAATGGGGACATTTTGAAATTTTCACCAACCTACTTGAAAATATACTGTACAGTACTTCAGTATCCCTTAATACATGTTACAGTATCAGGTTGTACCAGGAAAGCCAATTCATTATTGCGAGCGAGTATTACCATTAAAAATCTAAGTTTACTTTTTAGTTTGTATCACAATTCCGCCTGGGAGACCAAAATAAGGAGTTTTAGGGTCAGCTCGAAAGTGTTTAACGTAAAAGGCTGTATACTAAAAACTGCCACCATTTAGGATTTTACTGAAAAATGTGGGATTTATTTGTTGGAAAGCCGTTTTTACAGAGTAAAAATCCCATCAACGATTTATAAAATCTTCATAAAAGTTATATTTGAAATAATATTTTACAATATTCCTATCCAAATCTAGGACGAAGCAATGACATTATGAAATGTAAAATATTAGTACTTAAGAATAAATGTAAAATATCAAGATCCGATTCACAGCCACAATTCTAGAGTATCTTCGTATTCTTAATGCGATTACCCCTGTGAATCCCACGGAAGCTTAGCGTTTCAATTATAATTTCAAAAGAAACTCATTTAATTTCAGTAATCCTATTATTGCTAAAATATAGATCAGTTATACCTATTAAAACATAAATTATTTGTAAAATGTGTTTCTAAATAATTAGTGCATGGGTGATAATTGAAACAAAACGTTCCAATTGCAGGTTTGTTTAAATTATTGTATCATTATTGTTATGTAAAAGAATAATTCTGATTAAGTATTATGCTCGGTGTTGAAGCAAGGACAGTTCTGCGAAAGACAATTCTGAGTACTACAACTATCCGCAGTACTATCCTGAAAATTGGACCAATTCGTATATACTAAGGCAAAACTGTGTTTCGGATTCCACTAAAAACTGTAGGTCCCTTATTGCCATTAGCTGTATGAGCTATTAATTAACAGCTGTGTCTAAGGAATAAGTCGGCCTTGGTCACCAACATGACTACAAGATCGCGCCACTCATCCTACACTCATCTTCATTTCTTACTTGGCTTAAATCCCTACTTTTTATGGTAGCAATTTCGTTGAAAAGTATTAGAGTATAGCATTCTTAATCATAAAAATACATGCCCACTTTAATTACTATTCATAGGCCAAGATTATTTAGCATAAAGGTTAATATAAATTTGACTCTTTCTTTGAAATTAGGCTTCTAAGCCTAATTGTAAAGCTTAACTGAAAGAAACCCTTTACTATACTAACACAACAATTAATCTAATGATATGTCTTATGAGCAAAGCATCGTCCGAAAGTTTTACTATGCTTGATTCTATTGTAGTCTTAAGCGTTCCTAAGACAAAACCCAAGCATGTAGTAGTTTTAACCGCTATGCGTTCATACTAATGTATTTTGTTTTTATTTTGTAAAAAAAGGCTAATAATTAGGTTTAAGGCAGTTAACTATAATATGTCAAGCTCACCTTATTTAGTACGTACCTATATCGATTAAATTATGATTTAAAAAAGGAGTTTCTGTACTAGGTAAATATTAAATATCAAGCTCAAAACAATGTTTACTTCAGCTTAACGTTTCAAAATATCCAATCTTACACGATTAATCCAGCTTAAGTAAGTAATTAATTCCAAGTAAACACTAATCTGACACGGCTCTTCTTGGTTCTTTAGTAAAAAAGTAGTCTTCTTACTACAAGCGGCAACATTACTTTTTAAGAACAAGTGATTTAGACTTAAGCTGTCTGAATTATGTATTATTTTGTTTTACGGGAAAATACTTGATTTACTTTCATATTGTAATAAATGTAGAAATACCTGAATTGCACTAATTTACAAGGCAAAGAAAATACTACACTAACCTTTAATTGTTATATTTAATTGTTACAGCATTCGACAATAAACACGAGTATATAATCAAGTGATGCAAATTAATAATGTTTTAAGAGTTCCCTTAAGAACAATAACAATTATAATAATTACAAAATAAAAATTATAACTAATACACTATCATTTTGTTATGGACAACCAAAAGTAACTGCACTTAAATAAAGCACGAAAAATAATTTTCCATAAAAAATATTAAATTAAAATATACGATTGCTGCTCTACATTTTTTTAGTATATTACACAAAAATAGTATTTGTTTTATTGTGGCTTATTGTAAATGGTTACAAAGTATAAACTACAAGTTGTATATTATTTATTAAACATAAAATTATCATATTTGAAAACTCCTATTCGTCTATAAGCTGTGATAAACTAAAAGCGCATTGCTCCTCTTTTGCGATGCACATGAAGTGATGGTATCGTATTTTACTGCAAGCATACTTTGATATTTCGATTTGCATAATTTCCCGCAAGATATAACTTGCACTCTAAATATGGTAACAATCTTACCAGCTTTGGTGCAGACGCTAGCTAGATGGCTTGTCACAATTTACCCTGAATCTTGAATATCTGATAGCACTAATAAAATTAGGCTACTGTACCAATTTATGTC